TCACCGTTTCTAGTTTTGTCATGCAGAGATTGTTACATAAATGAATCATATTATTAGGGTGTTACCCTTTTCCACTCTGCACAGTGCCCTGGAGATCCACCTAAGTTGTTCCCTGTATCCGTGTTTCGTTTCATTTTATCACTGAGTGTTGTTTCAGCCTCACTTGATATTTTTTGTCATTTCTTTTTTTATTTTGGTAACCGTTTTACTGAGATATTCACAAACTATCCAGTTTGCCCATTTAAAGTGTACAAGTCAGTGGTTTCTGAGTTGTGCATATAAAAATATTAGGTTTTTTTTTTTTTTTTTGAGATGGAGTCGCACTTTCATCCAGGCAGGAGTGCAGTGGCAGGATCTCAGCTCACTGCAACCTCCGCCTCCCAGGTTCAAGAGATTCTCCTGCCTCAGCCTCCCAAGTAGCTGGGATTACAGGCACCCACCACCACGTTCAGCTAATTTTTTTTGTATTTTTAGTAGAGACGGGGTTTCACTACGTTGGCCAGGCTGGTCTTGAACTCCTGACGTCATGATCCACCCGCCTCGGCCTCCCAAAGTGTTAGGATTACAGGCGTGAGCCACCATGTCCGGCAGGAAATTTTTACCACCCCCAAAAGAAACTCCCGTACCTTTTATCCATCATTCATTCAATTTTAACCCTGCACCATATTCCACCACATGGTTGCGCCAGTAATTAGGGAACCAGTTCCTTAAGGGTAGACATTCCACCAGCTTCCTATCTTTTCTAATTACAATTAGTGCTGCAGCAGGTAAGTCTGTGCCTCACTTGGTCCACCTGTGAGTGTCTCTGTGGGCAAAATACACAGAAGTGGGATTGCCATTCTGCTAGAGATGGTCCTCCAGAGGCACCGACCAGTTTGTTCCCTCCAACTCAGCAGTCCACAGAGTTAAGAAGCCAACCTTGAGTACCATGGTAAGGAGGAAGGAACATGGGCTTTGGACGCAGCCACACCGGGGTTTGGAGTCTTGTGTGAACCCCAGCTCTGTTCCTCTGTCTTCAGTACCTTCATCTAGAAAGTAGGGACAATAACACCGGTCTTGACGGGCTGACTTGAGGATTAATTGAGGATGTTAGAGAATGTGACCAGCCTGTCAGCCATGGAGTTGGCTTCCCAGTAAACGCTTATTTCTTCCTCTTTACCTTGCACCTCACTGTAGTGATTAAGAGGTGAGCTGTGGAGCAGGCAACCTGGGGTGGAACGTACTGGAGACTCAGGTTAAGTCCTTTTAAAAACCCCTCTGTATCTTAGTTTTCTTATCTGTAACAGAGTTGTTGTGGAGAGTCAGTCTAATTGAGAATGTCAAGTACCTAGCCAGGTGAGCACTCAGCAGCAATCACCATAGTTTTCTGCTTTGCCCTGAAGATTTTTTGGTGGCTAAGTTTCTAACCCGCTTTCTTTGTGAACTGTTTGGTTGAAGCTCGGCTTACTTCCTGCTCCCCAACTGGCCCTGAGAAACCCTGTTTGGAAATTACAGAGTTTTCTGATTCCAAGATTGAGTTTGAGTTTCTGGTGCCAACATGTGGTGGCCGGGACTGTAGAGCGGAGTGCAGACTTAAAGGCGTGTGGTGCGGGACGGAGAGTACCGATTCCAGAAAACTAAAGAGAATCCCATGGGTTGAAGACGATTCGTGTCAGAGGAAGGGAAGGTCGAAGGAAGCCATTCTTGTTACCCAGGCTGGTCTCAAAGTCCAGCAGTGCACCCGTAGGTCCTGTTGGCACTTTTTAAAACAATATATTTTTAATATTCATAATGGAAGGAAATATGTAAATATTGTAATTAATCACGTATAATTTATTTCCTTCCATTATAAATATTAAAGATATAGAAAATGTATAATTTTTTATATGTTTAATATTGGAAGGAAAGTCTCAGTTCCAGTTACAAGTTTGCAAGAAAAAAGTCATAATTTCTTGCCTGTCAAATTTCATAAACCACTTGAATTCTACTCTTGGACTCCTGGCGGGTGGCAGGAATGTTTCGTGGACCCCAGATTAAGAACCCTATCTTTTTTTTTTTTTTTTTTCCCCTGAGGCAGAGTCTCTGTTGCCCAGGCTAGAGTGCAGTGGGGTGATCTCACAGTAACCTCCGCCTCTCAGGTTCAAGTGATTCTCCTGCCTCAGCCTCCTGATTAGCTGGGATTACAGGTGCCCATGACCATACCCAACTAATTGTTGTGTTTTTAGTAGAGACAGGGTTTTCCATGTTAGCCAGGCTGGTCTCGAACTCCTGACCTAAGGGGATCCACCCACCTCGGCCTCCCAAAGTGCTGGGATGACAGGCCTGAACCACTGTGCCCGGCCTATGGTTTTTCTTTCTTACACAGTACAGTAGCACACACTCAGTGATGTTCTGCCCTTTGTTTCAAATAACAGCATACCTTAGAAATTGCCCAATAGCTGGTTTATGTAGACCAGCGGGTACAATTTTATAAGCTTCCACCTTAAAACAACTTTTCACTAACCTTTAAACTTAACCTCCCCCCCAAAAAAAAAACCCATTTCAGATCTTCAGTGTATTCCTCATATTAGAGGAAAAACAGCCTTCCTATGGCAAAGGAGGCCTCTTATCTTTATCTCTGATTTGGAACTTTTACTCTTCACCAATAAATCTCACTAGCGAATCATTTTGGTTCGTAAAAACAGGAGTTTCTTCTTGAAGGGGAAGTTCATGTTTCTGATTTTTTTTTTTTTTTCTTTTTCTTTCTGAAAGAAAGGCTTTTATGTGTTTGGATCTCTTCACAACCAATCACCTCAACAAGTGTTTGAATTTCTGTTCCAGGAGCAGCTGACAGACTAAGGAAAGAGCTGGACGAGAAGGGAGAATTCTGAGCCAACATGCAGCGAAGTATCATGTGAGGACCCTCCCTTACCCCGGGAGCCTTTTATTCTCTAAGTTCTTAGTTTCTTTCTCTAAATCTGTACTTTAAAAAACCAAAACAAGGCCGGGCGTGGTGGCTCACGCCTGTAATCCCAGCACTTTGAGAGGCTGAGGTGGGCGGATCACAATGTCAGGAGTTCAAGACCAGCCTGACCAACATGGAGAAACCATGTCTCTACTAAAAAGACAAAAATTAGCTGGGTTTGGTGGCGCGTGCCTGTAATCCCAGCTACTTGGGAGGCTGAGGCAGGAGAATCGCTTGAACCCAGAGGTGGAGGTTACAGTGATCTGAGATCGCGCCATTGCACTCCAGCCTGGGCAACCAAGAGTGAAACTCCATCTAAAAAAAAAAAAAGAAAGGAAAAGAAAACAAAAAGTTTTCTTTTTTGAGTTAAGTTAGATTTTGAGTTGGAATTTCCAGGAGTCGAGCAGTGTGGAAGATGAGGTGTGGGATGTGGAAGACGGTATATTGAACAACACTTCTTAGTTGCAAGGAACAGAAACCTAACCCAGTGGCGGTGTCTGGAGGCATTTTTGGTCG